TACCAGTGGGGAGATGCTGGTAAAAGGCTCTCTGCATAGACAGTAGTCATCCATCCGATAAATATTTATCAGGTCCCAAATGTACCAGATGGTGGGGGATACGGACACTATGCTTAGGTGTGGGTTCTAATTTGTAGGCAACACTAAGCCATCCCAGATTTCAGATGGGAGGACTGACATGGTTCATTTAAAGAGATACTTCTTGTAGCAAAGAGCAGTGTGGACTGAAAGTTGTTGGGTTAGCTGCCTGAAGATTTAGGAGTTTTCAGAATAGTCCTGGCAACAGATGAGTGACCGTAGGAACACAGAGGGTTGTATGTGTGCCAAAAATCCATTTCTTAAAAAATATTTTATTGTATGTATATGATGTGTGAGGGTGGGCGTGCATGTGTGGCGGTCAGAGAATGACTTTTAGAAACTGATTCTCTCCTCCCATTATGGGCTCTGAGATCAAACTCAGGTCATCAGACTGTGAGATAAATGCTTTTACCTGCTGAGCCATCTTGACATGCTACACAGTTTCTTAATTGCCACAGCATTTGGACTGGTAACTTACTCAAGATTACAGAGGTACTAAGTCCTTGGTATCTGTAGGTAAAAGGGCAAGTGGAGTTGAGTAGAGCAGCAGGCTGGGCCTTGGAACAGACGAAGTAAAACTTCTTAAGACCCAGGACTCCTGCTCAGGATCCCAGAGTAATCAAATAGGCTTCACTTAGGATAAAACATACATTCAATGGTCACTGTCCTGGGACAAACATATGCTGCTAAGAGCAACTAAAAGTCTCTAATAGACAATGAAATTTTGACTAAAGAAGACATTTCCTCAGCAAAGTGCAGCAAAGATTTATCAGTCATGACACACAGGAAGATCATCTTGTTAGAAGTACCACTTACTGGGGCTGGAGAGATGGCTCAGAGGTTAAGAGCACTGACTGCTCTTCCAGAGGTCCTGAGTTCAATTCCCAACACCCACATGGTGGCTCAGAACCATCTGTAATGAGATCTGGCACCCTCTTCGGTGTACATAATAAATAAATAAATCTTTAAAAAAAAGAAGTACCACTTATTGGGTTGGAGATTTGCCTCCACACACGTCTACCTCAAACAATGTTCTGTGTTAAACACATTATTTTACTGTTGATTTCCTGGGTCACTTTAAGTCAATCCTTTTAACCATTTTAGCTTCATCTGCAAAATAACTGGGCATAGACCGAATGGTTTCTAAAGGCCCCATCAGTTCTAAAATAAGTACAGAGACAATATGTAATTACATATTGTGTTATTATGGTAGTAAGCCACACCCCTACTCTTTCCGAAGAAGCTTTAAAAGGTCGCGTTATTATTAAGGACTCTTGCTTCACATCTGGCTTCCATCTAAGACTACGATGTGTGAGCATTTACCCAGTGGACTGTACAGTTCTGGACCATCTGGGAAGATGCTCACAGTTGACAAACAGAAAGCTGGGCTGAGGATTGAGACACTCTGTCCCCTTGCACTTTTTGGTCTTCAGAACAGCTCGATCTCTTTACTTTGAACTGCCTCATTTGTTTAATTTTCTCATCAATTTTTTCTCGAAGCATGGTTTTTGGCTCTACAGTTTGGCAATGTACCGAGACTAGATTAGAAGAGACACTTGTTATGAGTGAACCTTTCCAGCCAAGCCTTGGTTTACTCTCCATCCTCTTCCCCACGGCTTGCTTCTGTAACTTCTCACAGAGCCAGGCCAATCTGGTCTGGATGTTTTCTCATACCTTTTTTTTTCTTTTTAAAAAACTATTAAAATTTTATTCTATTTTAAAATTTACTCGTGTGAGTTTGTGTGTGTGCGTGTGTGTGCATGTGTGTATGTGCATGTGTTCTAGGGACTGGTCATCTGGCTTGTGTGCTTCTCACCTCAACTAATGAGCTGTCTCAGCAGACCAAGCTTACATGTTTTATTTATTTACTTATTCATTCATTCATTCATTCATTCATTCATTCATTTATTTATTTATTTATTGGTTTTTCGAGACAGGGTTTCTCTGTGTAATGGTCCTGGCTGTCCTGGAACTTGCTTTGTAGACCAGGCTGGCCTTGAACTCACAGAGATCCTCCTGCTTCTGCCTTCTAAGTGCTGGGATTAAAGGCGTGTGCCACCACCATCCAGCCTTTTTTTTTTTTTTTAATGATTTATTTATTTTATGTATATGAGCATTCTATCTGCATTTATGCCTTTATGATAGATGAGGGCATCAGATCCCACTATAGATGGTTGTGAGCCACCATGTGGTTGCTGGGAATTGAACTCAGGACCTCTGGAAGAGCAGCCAGTACTCTCAACTGCTGAACTATCTTTCCAGCATGACACAGATTTTCTTAATGTAGGCCAGGATAGCCACAGCACAATACATGAGGCTCTTGTCTCTGGTTCCTGAGTACAGAGATTACAGGTATACCATGCCTGATTTGTCCAGAACATTTTTGTGGATGTACTTTTCTTGGGCCATTTTACATTGTTATAGCCTGAGGACTTCATAAAGGCAAGAGATTTATTTAGACCCTGGTGTGGAAGGCTCAAGGTCAAGGCTTTGTTATGTGCTTGGCTTTAGTGAGCTCCTTTTAGTGGCGGTCATTACAATGGGGGAGTGGGTACAAGAATGGAAAGTTGCACACTGATAACATGGATTCAGAAGGGATGCCAGATTCACTTATAGTAACCTACTTTTCAGCAACTAATCAATTTCTATTCTATTCATGAGCATGGGCAATGGGTTCATTGGCACTAGAGATAATAAGCAGTTGTGGACCACCTGATATGTGTGTGTGTGTGTGTGTGTCCGTGTGTGTGTCCATGTCCATTGAGGCCTAAATAGAGTGTTGGACTTGCTGGAGCTTGAGTTACAGGCAGTTGTGAGCTGCCTGATTTGGGTGTTGGTAACTAAACTCTGGTCCTCTGGAAAAGCAGCAGGTGCGAACCATCTCCTCTGCCCCCACATTCAGCTTTTTCCATCAGTGTGTTGAATCTAAACTTGAGCTGTCATGTGTGTGCAGTAAGCCACTAAGCCATCTCCCAAGATCCCCTACAGTTCTTGAGACAGGAAGATTTGTATCTTGTTGTTTTTGTATTTCCTTTTGGGTCTAGAACATAGTCCACAAAATTTGACATGTTTAGAAGAACTCAGGCCCACATTCTTTCCTCCTTTTGGTTCTGCTTATTCACAAGGTGACTTCAGCCATAAAATAGGGAATTCTATAATTAAAACATCCCCTTATAGCAAATCAGGTATAGACCCAACAGTATACAGTTAGTTGCATGCTTGAGCCCAGAACTCACTCCAGTGCTTGGCTTTTAGATGGTATTATCTTTGCTTCCCACAGCTAGGGATCAGCCTGGCTCTGGTAGGCATGAATCATGACGGTCAATGTCATTTTGGAGCACAGTTCACTCTGCAGGGAGCCCATCCCTGATCCATGGACAAACTGGTAAGCGAACATGAACTAGTGGAAAACATTTGGTATTAGGTTCACAGGACAAGGTTCAGCTGTAGTCAGTTCTTTGGGTCAAATTCAAATTCAAATCCATTTCTGAAACATTTCCAAAGCTATTTCTTACATCTTCACAGAGACACTTCTTTGGTTTGAGTTTATGGGTCTATGCCAAATTGCAGTTTACCCAACATTATGATTCATTTATTTGTTTCCTATACACTGTTTGACTTTTCCCATATTTGGCCTTGGCTGAGGACTCCTAGCATATGGTGTACATGGCTAGGCAGTCAGACTTCTTAGTATTTTTGATCTTACTATAAAAAATTAGATTTAAGGTCAGTTCTAATAATAAGCCAGAGACTAGTCATTTCTTTTCAGTGGGTATTAACTTTATTTTACTTCTCTTCAGTGATTTCCACTGCATCAATGTCGAGGCAAAATTCAGGTCAAGTAATGTATCATTAATAGTACTTAGTTCATGAATAAGAGTCATACAAAGTAGCACAGGCCCAAATAACTGGGCCCAGAGAAATGAGGACAGACAGTACTCAAAGCAATTGAAGTCTAAGATACTGTCTTCTCTTTGCTCTCTGAAATAGCATCTTTCTTACGACTAACTCAAGACCCAGGTTCTCTGTGACAAGACTTCCTGGGACAATGCAACACACACACACACACACACACACACACACACGTCTACTCATCCCAGATAGGGATCCCACAACAGACCAAGGTACATATATCACCAAAGTCCAACTTGGTGAACCAGTGAGTTTTATTGGGGTTGCTTACAGGAATATGGATGAGGGGTTACTCATGGAAGCAGAAATGACTCAAAGACAGCTGTATCACCAAAGCCCACCCAAGCATGGGTGACAGCTCACAGAGCTGGGAACCTGGAACACACTGCACAGCCTACAGACAGCTCAACAGGCTGGAGAGTGTTCCTTCCAGGTAGATCAGTTGACCTAAACTTCTTGCAGGTTGATCCACCAGTTTCTGCTTCTTCCTGGCAGCTGAGATTTTCTGTTTTCTTTGCAGCTTGGCTCATCTCAGCAGTCTTTATTGCTTACTCCCTCTGAGAGGGAGGGGCCTAGTGAATCTGGTCAGTTTCAGGGACTTCCTGAAGCTATTTTGAGTTTTTCACCTTCTATCTTAAGGAGCTTCCCTGGAAGATGGAGTGTTTATAACTTAAGAAAACTGCTACAGAGTACCAGGCTGGGCAAACACAGGCCTTTCATATAGGGCAGGGGTGTAAGTCTTAACTGTTGATTCTCCAATGGCCTCTTCTGTGTGGCTTTTTTTTTGCGGGGGGGAGGGTGTGTTTTCAAAACAGAGGTTCTCTGTGTAGCCCTGGATGTCCTGGAATTGGCTCTGTAAGCCAGGCTGGCCTTGAACTCAGGGTTCTGCCTGCCTCTGCCTCCTGAGTGCTGGGATTAAAGGTACCCCCACCCCTTGCTTCTTTGTGGCAGTCTTACCTCTAGAGTAATGTTCTGTTGATAGGAGCCTGTTCCAAAGACTTCTGTCCATTCCTTTACTAACTCATTCATTCTTCAAATATTAATTGATGTCATCATGTGTAGGAACAAGAGAAGAAAAATGAGTAGGCCACAGAGATTTTTGTCTGAGTGGGAGGACCAAAATAGACAGATGGTTAAAACTCTGAGTGTGACAAGTATCATGAAAGAGCTTTATTAATGAGGCTGCCAAAAGGTAGGTGGCAATTTCAGAGAGAGGAATGTCATAAAAAACCATGACGAGAGAGTGTACGCCGGGGCAAATGGTGACAGTGTATGCCTCACTGAGGACAAGCAGAAGACAAACAGTGTTGCGAGCAGACGCCTCTCACAGAGCAAATGCCTTCAACTAGCCAGTAGTCACACGCAAGGTGGAGGGATCTTGGCACTCCTGTCTCATTGTGTAAAAGCTATTGAGAAATTGAGCCCACAAGCTAGTATTTGATGGAGAAATGAGTGACAGTGAACCGGGAACCTGGGGCACTGCCCAGGAGGAGCTGGCGTGACCCTCGGTTGTTGCAGGATCCTTGAGATCAGAGATGGGGCACCTTGACGCAGACACTAAAAGAGGAGATAAGAAGATGGCAGAGCAATGTCACCTGTTGGGTAATTTGGGGAAGAGCAGGACTGGATTTTAGTGTCATTAATGGAAGGGAAGTCATACTTTAAGCCTGGTGTAATAGAGACAGACTAAGCATGTGTCCAGCTTTAGAACTGCGACCATGACTGAGCTCCTGAATTCTAGTCACTCCCACCCTGCACTGCAGCCCCAAAGCGCAGTCTTCGTTTAGTTTAGGGTACCTCTGCACCCTCTTCTTTGACCTTCAGAGTTTAGCACAAGGACCCTCTGCTTCAGGTTGTTCCGATTGTCTTATATCCTTGTTCCAAGCTCCCTCAGTAATGAGCACCCTTCTTGTTGGAATAGCAATCAGGCTAACAAGCACTCTCCCTACTTTTCAGAGCTGTACTAGGTCGTGAGTTCTCTGAGGACAGAACTGCCTTCTGTTTCCCATGAATCAATCAAAGACTAGACAAAAGTGTTGTCAATACATTCCATGGGTGGATAGATGAATGATTGATTCCAATAAAAGTTTTCATTTTCTTTGTGAATACAGACCTCAGGAAGTGAATGTTCAGAAAAAATGCTGCATATACTTTAAAGTAGTGCAAACCATGGGTTTGGGCTAACCCAAGGCTAGCTGGCCTTTTGTAGCATTTATTTGTTTGTTTGTTTATTTATTTATCATTATTTTATTTTATTTTTTTGGTTTTTCAAGACAGGGGTTCTCTTTCCTGGCTGTCCTGGAACTCACTTTGTAGACAAGGCTGACTTCGAACTCACAGAGATCTGCCTGCCTCTGCCTCCCGAGTGCTGGGATTAAAGGCGGTAGCTTTATGTTTCTGCTCACACATCACTGTCGTTCTGTTAAACTTTTACACGAGAGGCAAGCTTCAGAGATGTAGACAGAGAAACAAGTGAATTAACAAGGTTCAGTCTAAGAGCCAGGTCTAGCCTCTTCTAGATCACTTTCTGGCTTCCTGATTAAGCAGCTTGATGGGTCGCTTATCTCCATAGGCTTCCAGGCTCCTGGTCTCCAGGCTTTCCCTTTTGTACCTAGCCTACACACAGTTATTTTTTCTTGAAAAAAATTAATTGCTGTTATATGGTGGTATATATCCTGTAATCTCAGCACTTGGGAAGCTGAAACAGGAAGACGGCCATGAGTTGCAGACCAGCCTGGGCTAGAGAGTGAATCCCTGTGTCGACACTCACACACACACACACACACACACACACACACACACACACACACACATACAAATGCACTCACGCATGCACACATATGTACATGAACAGATCAATCATACCGCTCCCTTGTTGCCTCCAAAGCAAAGCCTGACTCTTTAGCAGGTTAGGTCTTCTGGGAACACCCTGTGACTAATTATATTCGATCGTGTCACTGATATGCAGCTGCTCCATGCCCCTCCTCCCACAACGAGCTTTCATTCTTTCATTCTTCCGTGCTTTTTCTTCATGCTCTTAGGGGAATCACAACAACTTCCCTCCCACATTCACTCCAGCTGGTGAATTCCTGCCTGGTCATCGTTTAAAACCCAATCATCAGAATCCAGGAGTTGCTTCTTCAGCAAGGCCTCCCTAGCCTGACTCCTTCAGATGTGTGAGTACCGCCTCCACTCTTCTCCTGGAGCACCTTTGCTGGTTTTTCTCACTCCTAACCCTGATGGAAACAATTTGCTTACTCACCCATCTGTCTCCGTTGCAAAAGCATGAGCTCCTTTAGTCCAAAGGCCACTCACTATCAAGATGTTAGCACTTAGGAGGTCCTCCAGTAGATGTCTGAAACAAATCAAATGAGTTATATCGAATTTAAATGTACTGTCCCTCAACTTTGACTGTTATTCACCTCCCTCCAAATGAAATGTAACAATGACTAACTGAACACTGCCCTTCACATTTTGTAATGTCATGCGGTTTTCATCTCTGACTTACAAACCCGGCATTCTTATCACTATTATAGATAGAGAATTAAGGCTGAAAGTGGGTAGGTATCTTTTCTTTTTGACAAAATTCTTTTTTCAATTTATTTTATTTTATATGTATGAGTGTTTGGCCAGCATGTACATATATGTGCCCGGTGCCAGTGAAGGTCAGAACAGGGCAAAGGATCCTCTGGAACTGGAGTTAAAGATGGTTTTGAGCCACCACGTGGATGCTAGGAATCAAACCTGGGTCTTCTGCAAGAGCAAGCGCTCTAAACCACAGAGCCACCTTTCCAGCCCCAGTGTTATCTTTTCTAAGCATAGTAGGTGTGAAAGCAGTATTTAAGTGGAAGCCTCTCAAACATTTAAGCCAATGACTATCCCACAATACCATGCTTCCCCAAACCTGGACCCACTGGCTTCTTACGTGGTTAACTTCTCCAAACTGCATTGACTAGGACGATGAACATCAGGCTTGGTTTTGGCCTGACCACCTCCGCTGAATAACTGTGAAACCTTGGACAATCCAATCTACATATTGGTTGGGACACACAAAAACAGAACCCAGACCTTCTTCCTGGCTGGAAGCTGTGTCTTCGAGCATGTGAATCAGCACTCCATTTCCTGGGATCAGATGGAGATCCCTCTCACTGTTCATGGGTTTGTCCTGATATACAGCCAACAGCAATCTGCTCCATGGCTCCCTGGAGAACGTGAAACTGCTGACTCCTGAAATGCTTTTCTAGTCACTGAGCCCTCAAGGCGAAAGGTCTCTTGGAGGGATGAGAACAGACCCAATTTACCCAACTCTACATGGCGTCAGACAGCCCTGAGCCACATTCCATTATGGCCCACAGAGCAGCTGAGGCTTACCCCATGTCTGACTCCTCAGAATACCTGCCCTCCAAGGGCAGAGGTCTCTAGCTCCCCTGTGCAGCTGCAGAATGGAACTCTTACATCAGAGCCCCCTTTAGACTGGAGATTGTATGGGGCCCTGACGGCTTTCCTCTTACGCTCTCTGCACCTCTGGTGAGCTTTCAGCTTACAACAGAGAAAAGAGGCTCCCAGAAGGGTAGATGTCCTTGTCCCGAGAAGCAGAACAGAAGAGACAGCCAGGAGGGGGAAAGAATGTGTATCTGCCTGTGAACACCTACTATGGGATAGCCATTTAAAATATGCCTTCTCAGGCCAGGGTAAAATCAGTTGGTAAAATGATTGCCTAGAAAGCAATAACACCCCACCCTGACCACTAAGCCAGCCATGGTGGCAAAGGCTTATAATCCAATGCTGGAGAAGTAGAGACAGGAAGATCCTTGGGGGCTCTTGGGCCAGTGAACTCACCAGGCCAGTGAGAGATCCTATCTCAAAAGCACCAAGTGGGGGCCAGAGAGATTGCTCAATGGTTAAGCATGCTTGCTGCTTTTGCAGAGGACTACAGTTCAATTCGCAGCACCTACACTGGGCAACTCACAATTTCCTTTAAGTCCAACTCCAGGGATCCTATGTCTTTTTCTGGCCTCTGTGTGTGTGCACACCTCAACATTTTTTAAAAGATTTATTTATTTATTATGTATACAGGAGAGGGTGACAGATCTCATTACAGATAGTTGTGAGCCACCATGTGGATGCTGGGAATTGAACTCAGGACTTCTGGAAGAGCAGTCGGTGTTCTTAACCTCTGAGCCATCTCTCCAGCCTGAAATGTGGTTTCTTTCTTTTTGTGTGTGTGTGTTTTTTTTCTTTTTTTTTTTTTTTTTGGTTTTTCGAGACAGGGTTTCTCTGTGTAGCTTTGCGCCTCTCCTGGAACTCACTTGGTAGCCCAGGCTGGCCTCGAACTCACAGAGATCCGCCTGCCTCTGCCTCCCGAGTGCTGGGATTAAAGGCGTGCGCCACCACTGCCCGGCGTGTGTGTTTTTTTTCAAGACAGGGTTTCTCTGTATAGTTTTGGTGTCTGTTCTGGAACTCTCTTTGTAGACCAGGCTGGCTTTGAACTCACAGAGATCCACCTGCCTCTGCCTCCCAAGTGCTGGCATTAAAGGCGTGTGCCACTACTGACCGGCACACCTCAACATTTATGTGTACACTCATATACCTGCACACACAAACACAGGTACACATGTATATATACACACATTAAAAAAAAAAACTCACTGGGCATGGTGGTGCATGCCTTTAAACCCAGCACTCGGGAGCCAGAGGCAGGTGGATCTCTGTGAGTTCAAAGCCAGCCTGGTCTATATGGTTCTAGGACAGCAAGGTTACACAGAGAGACCCTGTCTCAAAAACAAAAACTCAAAACCAAACCAAAAACAAAATTTCATTTGATCATTACTATAATCATTTTTTCCCATTTAAAGGTGTACAAACTGAAGAAGTTTCCAGACAAAATAGTGCATTTCTTTTTTTAACCAACATAACAATATAAAGCATTGATTGTGGTCCCAAGTGTCTGTGACAAGAGCCTATCATGTAGATGAGATAGAACATAGCCATACAGGTAGCACCTTTACCTTACGCAGGTCTGAGACTGTGGTACCTTTGTACCTTTTTTTTTTGTTTTGTTTTTTTGTTTTTTTGTTTTTCGAGACAGGGTTTCTCAGTGTAGCTTTGAGCCTTTCCTGGAACTCATTTTGTAGACCAGGCTGGCCTCGAACTCACAGAGATCCGCCTGCCTCTGCCTCTCGAGTGCTGGGATTAAAGGCGTGCACCACCACCGCCCGGGGAGACTGTGGTTTCTTGTCCCATGTGCTGCTATTGTAATTGGGAAATAGACTTGGAGCTGAAACCTACCTGTATAGTGTTGGTGAAAGGAAGCTGGGGAGATGATCAGAGGTTAAGAACACTGGCTTCACTTCCAGAGGACCCAGGTTTGATTCCCAGCATCCACATAGCAGTTAACAACTGTCCATAACTCCAGTACCAGGGGACTCAGCACCTTCTTCTGGCCTCCTTGGGCACCAGGCATGCACATGATACACAGGCATACATGCAGGCAAAATATGAAGTCTCACCAACCTGGCTGCCTAAACATGACCTGAACAGGGATGGCACCAACAGACATGCTAACATGGATGGGGAAAAGGTCATGAGGCCTCACCCCTAGACCAAGAGCTACAGGCAGCTAAGGAATGCTGAGATTGGGAGGAATAATATTCCCCAGAGAAGAGCATATCCAATACCAAATGGTTAGCCCCCAAAACACACATACAAGTAATATTATACAGACAGAGCATGCTGTATTTATGAATTTAGAAATATATACATAAATGTGTAAAACAAAGTGAAAGAAAAAGAGGTCATGAATCTGAAAGAGAGTAAAGGCATTGGGGGGATGATGCATGGGGGAGTTTGGAGGGAGGAAAGGGAAAGGAGAGATTGTATAACTATATTATAATCTAAAAAAATAGAATAATTGAAACAATCAAAACTCCCACTCATACAAATAAATAAGTAAAGGTTTTAAAATAGTCTTGATAAGAGCTTGACTATGTTTGAGTCTAAGGACTGCTGCATAGATGTGAAATCCTGTCTTTGCTTCTTATCCACAAACGAAGAACAAGTTGTTCTCCTTTCAAAATTTTTATAAGCAGTCAATGGGGTTTTGAACGTTTTGGAGAGGGAGGCCTGCAGAACTGGTCAACTCACAAATGAGCCACTTTCCCCTCCTAAGATTTATTTATCTATTTATACGGTGCTTTGCATATACATCTGCACATCAGAAAAGGGCATCGATTCCTTTATATGTGAGCTACCAGGTGAGTGCTGGGAATTGAACTCAGGACCTCTGGAAGAGCAGCAGTGCTCTTAACCACTAAACCATCTCTCCGGTCCCATAAATGAGCCAATTCTTATCCAGCATCTCTTCTATGGAGCTTTGCCCATGACTGAATAATCCTGATTTCTTAGTTTTTCTCTACGCTAAGCAAGAGCAGTTGCTTAGGAGAAGGAGCATAGACTAGGAATTGGGTGACTTGGGTTTGAGTTTTGGTTTTATTAGCTGCTGACTGTGAGATATGTGAGGCGATAGGTCTCAATTCCCCTGTCTGCGTGTACTGACCTCTTAGGGTTGCTTGAGGAATATATGAGAGCATAAAAACACGAATGCTTTCTCAGTCCTAACGCTCTGCCCCAGTGAAAGTTATTTATCCAACAACATAGTTTGATGTGTGCCAGGTGGTCAGGGCGCAAAGGCAATGGAAATGTGATCTCCCTTAGCTCATAGTGTGATGAGATAAACAAGCAAATGGGTAATTACAACACCATGTGTGAGTGCCCTATCAGGAGGAGCAGGATACTCAGAGGACAAAGAACACTATGTTGCTTATCTATTGTTTCAAAACAAATTACCACCAAAACTTCACCGCATGAAAAGGCAACCATCCGTAAGTTTACATCATTTCTGCATATGAGGAATCTGAGAATGGACAGGCTGGCTAGTTATGGCTCATGATCTGTCCTAAGTCAAACCACTGCTTCCACAAACTAGACTAGAGGGCTGGAGAGATGGCTCAGCGGTTAAGAGCACTGGCTGCTCTTTCAGAGGACCTGGGTTTGTTTCCCAGCACCCACATGGTAGCTCACAACCATCTGTAACTCTAATTCCGGAGGATCTGATGTCTTTTTCTGGCCTCCATGGACACTGCACACATGTCTGTACACTTACAGACATACACGCAGAGAAAACACCCATACACATAAATAAAAATAAATAAAATCTCAAAAAACAAACTAGACTAGGCATAAAAAAATGTATTTTTAACTTCACTCCAGTGGTTGTCCACAAGGGACTTTTGTTACTCTCCACATGGTCTTCTCAGAAACTATCTCTCTTCCAAAATAATTCTAAGAGCAATGGAA